CATTTCTCCCTTTAAGTGAGAAGTTGGGGCTCAAGTGGTTTGAGATGGGGAAGAAATGATAAATCTTTTTTTAAAAAAGACAAGTTCCTTCTGGCTGGAGAGTGAGACAAGAGAAACCACACAACCTCAAATTATGCAATCTATAAAGACAGTAATAAAGTGACTACTTCATACATGAAGATAAGACAACTTGAACTTGGTCTTGAACTTAAGGGAATTCTTGCATGTGAGAGGGAAAGGAAAGAACATATTTTAGTGCAATATGCAGTTGCATTTAGACCTAAGGAAAGGCTACCAAAATGAATTTTTGAGCCATTATCCATGGTAACTTTAATGAGTCCACATTTCAACTTTGTGTGTTCTCAACACCCTCTATCTACAGCTCAAAAACATGCAGCATCTGCAATCACGTCCATGAGTTCCTGATGTCCCAGCCAAGTGCCTCTGCCTCTGAGCTCAAAGAGCCCCTTGCTCGCCAGGGGTTAACCATGTCAGGAAGGCTCTGGAAGGGGTCTATTGGGCAGCGAGACTGCTGCTGTTGATAAGAGGTCTTTGTTGGACTGGTGACCAGGAGCTGTGGGAAACCCAGAAACAAAATGTCTCAGATAGGGATAGCAGCAAAGATACATGTATCAGTACGGGTCATGGATTAGGAAAAGAATTAGGAGTTTTTCCCTCCTCTCTGCCAAATCCCAATTGGGAAAAAATGCACATCTTCTCCCAAAACCCCACCCCAAGTAAATTTTGTTATTCCATCCTCAAGAATGAATTAATAATTACTTAATCCAATTAGGCAAGCATATTCATAAACAACTCTGCCGACATACAGAGATATGTTTTACCTTTAATTACTAGGAGAAAACAGACAACTTGGGATTTTCTTAACAAAGAAAAAATTAGGAAATAATAGTCCTTCTCTGCCACACCCATCATTCCCAGCCCATGCTACTTAAAAACCCTTTACACTGTGGGCTTTTATTTTTAATTTGAAAAAAATTTATTTTAAACTAGGTCCCCAAGAAAGAAACTGGCATTTCTTATTCTCTTCAGAGTGGTCTGAGAAATGCTATATCAATGCATCTAAGAAAAAATAGGAAAACAAGCTCTTTTCATTTTGTTTCTGAATCAATACCCGAAATCATGACCAGAAGCAAAAATCCACCGGTGCGTCAGCAAGCAGGATGCTCGGCCTTTCAGCTTCATCCTTTCCCTGTGAGTTGTTCTGTGGGTTCCCCGCTGCAGCTCCAGGCCGCTAGAGCAGATAGATAATGTAGGACAGAATGACCAGGCCTATAATGGCAAAGAACATCAGGATGAAAATATCCAACATTATGGAGTCCTAGGCTGATGAGGCCCCTAGATTCTGGAAAAATGTGAGCTGTGAGCACGGAGGTCACCGCAATCAGTGAAGAGAAATGGCTACTCTTCCCGGCACAGCTCAGCCCTTGTTCTTTCCCCTCCCCCTCCGCCTCCCAGGGGCCTGAGACTAAGAGATGCTGCAGCTCCTTCAGCAGCTCAGAAGCAGTCCGATGCCTGCAACACACTCACCCCAGCCAGCCAATCACAAAACCCGGGGGTGGGTAACCAGGGAACTGCTAGATTTAGACCAGACAGAACTGAAGAGGCTCAATTTCTCAATTTCTCCCCGGGAGCCTAGGCCCACCCCTTCGTGTCTAAGTGGAGTCTGCATGTTATGAATGTAGGAGGAGGTACCTGACTGCTGCTGCCTTCCTTCTTCCTCTCACACATCTCCGGCAAATTATCGCAGACAAATAAGGGCTGGGAACTGCGTGGACCATGGCAAGTTCTAAAGGCCACATTCTAGGGGGGCTTGGACAAAGGTCTCATGTGGTCTAAGCTGGTATATCCCTGGAGGATGGAGTTCACATACCTGCAATTCCTACACTATGCCAGGACCAGGTACTGCACCTGGTGTAATTTCAGCCTCCCTCCAAGTTGTCCATAAGCGGAGCTCAGAGAGGTCAGAAACTTTGCCTAAGGTTTCATAGCTTAGAAATAGTGGAGCCAAGATTCAGAAAAGGACTTGCAGGCTCCAAGGACTTTTTTTTTTTTCCTGAGACAGGGTCTTGCTCTTTTACCTGGCTAGAGTGTAGTGGTGTCATCACTGTAACCAGAAACTCCCGGGCTCAGGAAAGCATCTTGCCTCTGAGCCTCCTGAGTGGCATGTGCCACATGCCTGGCTAATTTTTCTATTTTCAGTAGAGATGGACTCACTCTAGCTCAGTTTGGTCTCAAACTCCTGACCTCAAGTGATCCTCCTGCCTCAGTCTCCCAAAGTGCCAGGATTTCAGGTGTGAGCCACCGTGCCAGGCCTCCAAATTCCATACTCTTTCTCCCACCCCAGACTGGCTCACCTGTGAGTCTACAGGGCCCCTGAGCTGCCCGCACTTGTCAGCGTGAGGTGCATTTTGCTCACGTCACTTCATCTGTGGGATGAGCACCCGGGTTTCTTCTCCATCTTCCCCTTCCCTTCTTTGCAGTCACTACCCGTGGTTTTGTTTTCTTTTGTATCCTCTCTAGAGAGCTCAGCACAGTGCTACACATAGCAAAGACACTGAAGAATTCACAGGCCCATCCTTGTGAGGAACTGTCTACAAATGGGAAGTCAAGTGGTTTCCTCTGAAGAGAAAAGGATTGGTGTTTTATTTAAGAGTTATATCTTGTGTTGGTTTGTGCCTTTTTGTAAGCTTCAATTTACTTCCCATTAAATTAGAAAAATTCTCTGGGACATCTCTGAGGCTTAGTTTCCTTGGCCCCCAACCCAAATAGTTCTTTTGAAGGGCTTGGGGTTAAGATATTAGAAATTCCCCTCATCATGCTAGACCTCAGGAACTTAAGCCATTTCTAGAAAGGTCTAGAAACACTTCCCATTGGCCAGTCCCCACGAGCCAGAGCACAGAGCTTTCTGTGAGCAGGGAACCCGGATTTGGCATGGATGCCCCCCAAAGCAGACTGCACCCTCAGATCGCTGAGCGTGAACGAAGCCTCCTGGGGAGAGGCTGCAGCTCTGCAGCTCCTGCAGCCCAACAGGAGGCAAGATCTGCCAACTCAATCTCTGGCTGTGGGTCTCTGCTGGGCCCAGCTGTTGCTTTAGCGCCAAGGATGTGCTGTAAAACTGACAGAGCTGGAAGATGTAGCCGCACAGAACAGATTCGGGTGAAAGAAATGCTTCAAAGCATTAAAAATTGGTGGGTCCCCATGAAACCTTCCTATACCGAGGTTTACCAAGAGATCTGGATCGGAATGGGGTTGATTGACGAGCTTCATTGCTTATAAAATCAGGAGTGCTAATAAAAGAAGTAAAGCTTTGAAAGCTCCCGCCCCTGCTCATGGTCATCACTAACCAACCTCACTTGGAGCGCATGAGGTGGACCATCAGTCTGCCCGTAGAGCTAAGCAAGCTGTGTCATGTGGGAACCTGGACTGCCCCTGTGTACTTGTATAAGTGCCATATACTTGTGGCATGAATAAATGTGTCTGTGAGATGCCAAAAAAAAAAAGCATCTGCTAACTCATCCCCCTTGGGTGGGAAAACACTGAGCAGCCAGGTCCTTTTGGTGGGGAGTGGGGGTCAGTGTTGCCTCAGCCATTCCCCACAGTGTTCCAGCTCTGCTGACTCAGAGAATATCTTTTTCCAGTTGACAAATGCTCCGTTTGGGGAAAACCCTTTTCCTCTCCACCCTTCTGTAACCCCGAGGCCAGAGAATGCTTTCATTCTGAGCCCCAAGTGGGAAATGCTCTTCTCCACAGGCAGCTGGACGTGAGGCTAACTGGCATCCTCGAGTGGGGGTGGAAGGGACTGGATCCCCTTTTCGGACAACATCCTCTTCCCAATCCACTGTGTGAGAGGGGAGGCAACCTGGCCCTCTGCCCAGAGGTCAGAGACCCTGAGCACCTGAAACAAGGCATAGAGCACAGGAGATACGAATATGAGAGCCATCAGGGCACACAGCCCATCACGGTGAGGTGGCCCCTCGTAGGATTACATGTATCACATCAGGGAGGACTAAGTCCCCAGCTCTGCCACTAGCTGCACAACTTCCACCAAACCTGTTTCCCTTTCTGGGTGTTGGTGAGCCCTATCTGTAAGGACATCAGAGTTACTTCTCTCACATGGCTATTGGAAAGATGGAAGAAAAAAGATGCATTTGGAAGGTATTGGAAATAGTACTTTGGCTTGCCAGGCTGCCTTATCATTGGCTTTATCCAGATCTTGTCCCACTGTGGAATGTCCTGTCATCTTCCAAGCACGTGTTGAGCTCCTGACCTGCCAGGCAGGGCCAGTGCTACAACTGCCCACAGGCTGGCTCATTCATTCACTCAACAAACATTTGAGCAGCAGCTCCCTGCCAGCTTCTGGGAGGGTACTGGGGATTTAAAGATGTACAAGGTAACATAATTATAGCCCAAGAAGAAGGGGAAAGGGAAGAGGGAGGGGAGGAGAGGGGGGAGGATGGATGGAGGGAGAGTAATTGGTGGGACCACACCTACAGTACAGCTTACAAGGGTATATGTGAAATTTACTAGGTATAGAATATTAATGTCTTAACACAATAACTAAGAAAATGCCGTGAAGGCTATGTTGACCAGTTTTGATGAAAGCATTTCAAATTGTATGTAAAACCAGCACGTTGTATCCCTCGACTGCATTAATGTACACAGTTATGATTTAATAAAAAAAAATTAAAAAATAAAGAGTACACGGTGGGGTGGAGGGTTACAGACAGTAACTGGGGAAGGGAAACAGGAAGAGACAGGGAGCTCAGGGAGGCTTCTGGGAGTGTTACCATGTTGGGCAGAGAGGGATGATCAGGTAGAAACTAGAAGCGGGGTGCTGCGGGGTTCTCAGCTAGGAGGAAGTAGATGCCATGGGCAGGGCAGCAGGGCTCTCTGGACCACAATGGGCCAAGGCCCTCAAGCAGACAGGGCATGAAAGCACACACACAGAACACCTCCTCAGAGCCAGAGAGGAAACCACGTCCGCAGGTAAAAATTATACTTTTATTTGAGTCACCAGGAGAAAGATTCACTTGTGGTTCAAGTCAAATGTTCAGAATCATAACAGGCCAGAAAGATTTGATCCCGAGCACAAGCCCACGAGGGAGGAGACCAAACAGACCAAAATAAGACAACACCCTCATATAAAAAGATGAACGGACGGCTGCACACACACACACACACGCACACATACATACACACAGATAACATGTTTGGACAGAGGCAAGTTTCACATGGTCATTTCTTTTTAAATACAGGTTTGTGGGGTGGTATTTTGATTTTTTTTCCAGCTATAAAAAAGGGGCCAAAAGTGCATATGTGAGGGGAGGAAAGGCAGAAATTAAGCAATAAAGGAGTTTTCCCTGGAAGGACATGAGGGGAGAAAACAGGAAGCAGAGTTGGGAGAATTCACTTTTCTCACCATTGGGCTTGCATTTCATTATTGGTCCACAAAAATTATATTCACATTCTAGCTGTGATGCGTCTTTCCTGGGATCAGATTGGCTAAAAGACCTTTGTGAGCTGTAGAAAAGACCAGGGGATCGGCCCAACCCTCGGGGTTCTGTGCTCTTCTAGGGATGGGTGGTTCTGGTAAGGAACAAGGACACCCAGTAGCCTCTGGGTCCCTCAGCACCAGTATGACAGTCCCTCCTCTCTCTGGGGATATATAAGAAAATGGTCCCTATTTGTAGGATGAGAAGAGTTGAGGCAGGGGCTGGTAGCAAGATTCCAGGGGCTGGCCTGTCTCATTTGAGAAGGAAAATTAAGCTGAGTGACAACGGGTTGTTGTTCGCTATAGGAGGTGGGACTTTCACCCACTCACTCGCCACTTCCCCAACTACAGGTCCTTGAACAGGATATGTCCCTGACCATGGGTCCTCAAATCCACATTGTGCTTTGAAAGCAAGAGGAAATGGAATACACTAGCACCTCCCTCAAGGTTCCCAAGAGAGCCTCTGCCTCCCTCATCTTCAAAGGTGCCCAGTGTAAAATGTTCTGCGTGTCCTCCCCTAGGCTGGGGCCGGCAAGAAGAAAAGGGACTGGTCAGGCATGGGCTCCTCACTCACAGTCATTTCCTCAATCTCTGGCTTGTTGCAAATCCTCCCCAATCAGCCAACAAGCAGTGGACAAAAATACCCAGGATGACTCAACTGTTGAATAGGCAGACACCTCTAGGCCTCTTTCCTCACCTGCACGGCACAAATGGACAAAGTGATAAGATGTCAACTATGGGGCCTGGATGGATGCAGGTGAAGATGGGAGGAGGGCCTACAGGGTGACAAGGAGATCCAGAGATGAATAAAGTCCAGCAGGAGTTATCACGACCACCAACAAGTGGAGAGAAGGAACTGGACATAGCACCACATTCCCTTCCCTGCCCTGGAGTCTGTGCTTGCAGGGTGGCAGCCCTGGGACCCCCCACCCTGCTTCAGGAGGGCTTTATGTAAGCCAGCGGGAGTTATAGGGAGAGCCCTCAGAGCTAGGTACCCACAGTGTGGGTGATATAGGGTCCTCCTGGCACCTTGCCCTGTAGCCCCAGACACAGGGACAGGGAGGAGGATGAGCCTAGGGCCATGGAGCCTTCCCCCACCCACACCCAGGAAGCCCCCATCAACTCCACACAAACCCTTCCTGCTGCCCAGCACACTGCACAGGGTGAGGGGTAGGCTTCCTCCATGTGGAGATGGGGAAGCAGAAACTTCTCTCCCTCATGAGCCTCCTCTCCAGCTGTAGGTTTTGCGGACAATTCAGAGCAGGACAGCTGTGTGCCCTCACACCCTCCCTGCACTACCTCTCAACCTCATGCTCACACTCACGTGTGCCTGCCACAAACACTTGCTGACACACGCACTCCTGCCCCTGCCCACCACATCTGAGATACAGAGGCCCCTGCCAGCCTTGCACTGCTCCGAAACCACCTGGCATCAGGCCAGGGAGCAGAGGCCAGGGAAGGCCCTGAGACCTTTTCCCGGGAGGGAGGATTGGCCCATCTAATCCACAGCCTGGGGGCTGGAGGCCACTGCAGACCAAGAGGACGTAAGGCGTCCTTGGCCATCCCTTTAGGACGACTGACAGCTTGCAGCCAAGGAGGCAAGCTAGGGTCCTCAGAGACTGGGGTGGGAGTGGGGGAGAAGGGCTACAGGAGAGAACACCCTGTTCCCCTCCCTCCTGCAGCTGTCCTTAGAACTTGACCCAATGAAAAAGAAAAAAAAGAACTTGACCCAAGCTGTGCTTCCTGGGAGCTCTTAGCTCACCCAAGGTCTACATGGGCAGGAGGGCAAAATCACAGTGAGAAGGAACACAGAGGGGGATAGATTCATGCCAGCATAGGACTCCCCTCTCTGGCTATTGCCCTTGAGGAGGGAGAGACTGAGGAGCAAAGCCCCGCCCAGGCCAGCAGCCAGCTCTTAGAAGAGCAGTAAAGCCCATTGTGCTGGACCCTGTATAACAGCAGAGGCCCCCACCCCAAACCTGGGGACAAAGGATACTACTCTAGGGAATGTATGGAGCCCCTGCCCTGGAGGTCCTAGGAGTGTGGGGTTCACCCAGCCCTGGAATGTGAGGGTTTATGAGGGGCTGGGTGGAAGGGTGAGGCAGGGAGAAGAGAGAGGAAGGGGAGGCTGGGAGCCAACACGTCTCCCATCCCAGCCCAGCCTTGCCCTCCTGCAGAGAGGCCCACGCCTGTTCCATCCAGAGAGAAAACCAGGAAGTCGGTCAAGGGGAAAACCTGCAAGATGAAGGAGCCCGCAGAAGTGGCAGAAGAAGGCTTCAGTTGGCAAAAGAAGCTGGAGGAGGGGTGGGAATCACAAGCTGTCGCAGATTTTAAAAAACAGACACTGAAGGGTGGACTGGTCACGCCCAGGAGGAGAGGTGAGGGTGCCCGGGGCTCAGATGGCCTCCACGTAGTTGGCAGGCAGCATCCCTGTGTCGCCCGTGCGTTCCACCGTCCCGTACATCCAGCCGTCATCAATCTGCTGCACGTTGACGATGGTGTCCCCATCCTGGAAGGAGACCTCGTCCTCATCGGCAGCGCTGTAGTCGTACACAGCACGGTACCGCTTCTGTGGGGGAAGCA